GTGTGTGTGTGTGTGTGTGTGTGTGTGTGTATATATATATATATATATATATATATATATAATTCGATGGAAGTACATTTTTAACACAACTGGTAGAATTTGATTAATTGACCATTCTCTTGTTGTGACTTGAACAGAAGAGGTTGACCACCCTCCTGAGTGGCACATGTGTCATATATCTTGACATTCTTTCATAGTGAGATTGTTCTTCCTTGTGATAATGAGGAGCAGCCAGAGCTACTCATCCTTGGCTACTCAAGAGGCTTATCAGAGTATAGAGATGCAGTTGGAGGTAGGGAGGGGAAGGAAACTGTTATCAAAACATGCAAAATGGAATAAAATTATTTTGGCTGGAAAGAATAATAGGTCTGAATCTGGTCTTCGGCTATTGGGATGAAAAGCTGTGGCACTGAGGAGGATTTGCACTCCATAGAAAAGAGTCAAGCTTGTTGAATCTTCCAGAGATGAAGAGCAGCCCTGTGTTTGTCCTCCCGGGCCATTTTCTTAGCTCCCCCTGCTGCTATTTGCACGAAAGGGCCCTGATTATAGAAGAGAGCCATAAACATCTCAGATGAGAGAGTTTATATATAGCATTTGGTCGCTCTGCTCCTTCAGGAAGGAATGCTTAGACAATGGGTTAATTAAATGTGTGCTGGAAAGCGTGTAGCATATTGGTGACCTGAAGCAAGGTTTATTGAAATCCTATCAGATGTAGCACTGTGGGCTCCTCTTTATTTATGTATTTCGGCCACTGAATTTTGATTGCAGCTAAAAGAGAAGAGAAAAAGGAGAGATTGGCTGAGGGCTTCGGATGAGCACTCCCTGTTGTCAACACCTCAGCAAGGCTAACCCAGAGCTCCTTGACCAGTCCTTAGCTTTCGGGGCTAGGTACAGGATTTTATCTCCACTCTCTGGGGTGATCAGGCCTAGGGCAACCAAAACACAATTTCCCAAAACTCTTAGGTGACTGAAGGCGCCGTGTATGAGCGTGCCCATTTGCCAATTAACAGGACATTTCTCTCCAGCAGGATTACAGATGTGGTTCTTAGCTTAGAACCTTTGTGGCACGCATTCCTTTACAGAGGCTGTCTTATAGTTAGATGTGGATCACGAGTTAGCTTAGTAAGCAAAGAATTAGAACAAAGGCAATTAGATGCTTTTAGGGAATATTTCCATTCAGCTAGTGTAGCTGGATTTGTCTCCATTCTCCAAATTAGGATGTCTGGAGAATCAGGATTGGGGTTTCAAACCAGAGAACAATCTCCTTTGAACCAGCTGGATATATCCTAAAAATTCTTGTTTCTTGGCCTTCCTTGAACCATACTCCATACAACCTACTTTAGATCATCAGATTGGATATGTTAGATGATTGAATTCACTTACAACTTTATTTGCATTAAATGCGTTCCAGTTCTGAAGATATATCCTAACTGATCACCTTGATTAGACTGAGAAACTCTAGTCTCAAAACCTGAACTCCTAAGGAGTGTCTCACCAAGCATTCTAGTCCCTGTATCTCCATTTATAAATTGCCTCTTAATTTGAATTATTTGGCAAGTAGCTAAAAGCATCTGTTCTTTATTGATTTTGATGGATTCCATTTCAGAGAGTGACTTTTTCTGACCTTGTTACCAAATTCAAGGGAAAGACACTGTAATGTAACCCTCCTAAACATGATCAAATATTAAAAATTTCCAAATATATATGTATAATTATTTTATGTCCATAATATATATTATATAATGTTATATAATATTATTTCATATATTATATAAAATAATATTATATTATATATTATATAATATTTAATATATATAAACAATATAGTATATAATATAATTATAGATCAATTATGTATAATTAATTGTATATTACATAATATATTATATAATATATATAATCTCCATCTGCCCTTGGGAAGGAACATGAGAATTAAGAACTTTATTTATTTTAAATTTTTTTAAACGTTTTATTTATTTTTTGAGAGAGAGAGACGGAGACTGAGCATGAGCAGGGGAGGGGCAGAGAGAGAGGGAGATACAGAATCTGAAGCAGGCTTAGGCTCTGAGCTGTCAGCACAGAGCCCAACGTAGGCCTTCAACCCACAAACTGCGACATCATGACCTGAGTCAAAATTAGATGCTTAACTGAACGAGCCACCCCGGTGTGCCCCAAGAATTAAGAACTTTAGCATAGAGACACCTGGCTGACTCAGTCAAAGAAGCATGAGATTCTTGATCTCAGGGCCAGAAGTTTGAGCCCCACATTGGGTATATAGATTACTGAAAAAATAAATAAACTAAAAGAAAAAAAAGAAAAGAGCTTTAGGATAATAAAAATACAAAACTGAAAGAAAAGTAAAGGAAGAGAAAAAAGAAAAGAAAGAAAGAAAGAAAGAAAGAAAGAAAGAAAGAAAGAAAGAAAGAAAGAAAGAAAGAAAGAGAAAAGAAGGAGGCACAGAACAGAACTCCAGAGCAGATGGCAGCAGCAGTCCTGGGGCCTCCCTGCACAGGGCCTGGGAGGTATGTCTGGTTCTATGGAATATGTAATAGCAACTTGCCTCAGGCTTGCCTCCCACCTCTGCCCTTCCTCCCAGGCTGTCTTCCCTCTGCTGCCCTTCCAGTCTGCTTCCTTATCCATCCCACTGAACTTCTCTTAGCCTCTCACCTTTGGTCCCTTCCACTACCCAGCAGTCTGCCCAGTGATCACCTGGATCACTCATGGGGTCTCTTACTTGGCCCTGTCCTGCCTTCTCTCCCTCCTTTTCCTTCCTGGTTTCTTCCAACTCTTTCCAGGCCTACTGTTCACACAGCACCTCGGCTTACAGACGATGGCCCTGTAGCAAGAGACATGCAGGGGCCCAGAGCCCTGGCTGCAGCCAGACCCTAGGCCTGCTGCTCTAGCATATACTGCTTGCTCAGATCAGACTTCCCAGAACTCTGGAGAGTTTCCCTCTCTGTTGTGTGTCTCTTCCTCCTCAGCACTTGCCCTTCTACAAGTCCTCTCTTCTTTAATCGGAAGTCTCCTAACCTTCACTTTGCTCCTTACCATCCCTCCACACACATACTTGTCCATATGTCCTAATATTCTCCTTTCTTCGCCTCTCTTCTCCATTGTTTTACTTTCCTGTGGCTCCGCTCACCCATCTACATATAAGGGCCGAGGTGGCAGGGACTGGAGATTAGGAGAGCAAATCACAGCAAGAGTGACAGCCATTTATTGAGCACCTACTATGTGCCAGATGCTGTGCCAGGCACTAAGGACACAGCAGTGAACAAAGCAGACAGAACCTTTACCCTCAGGGGAAACTTACATTGTAACGGGAGGAGACAGACAATAAATAAATAATAACATAGAAGAATGTCAAGTGAGGTTAAATCCTATGGAGAAAAATTAAGTCAGGAGGGTGTGTGTAGAGCGTACGGGGATGGGAGCTGTAAGTTGAGGTCAGTTGTCTAGAGAAGGCCTCACTGAGAAGTTGAGATTTGAGTAAGGATCACAACTGACAGTGAAGATATTTGGGAGAAGAGCATTACAGACAGCGGGAATGGCAAGGGCAAGGGCCTGGAGCCAAGAGTGTGTCCGGCAGGTTTGAGGGAGGGCCGGCAGGCTAGTGTGACTATGGCAGAGTGAGCCAGAGGGACGCGGAGAGGATGGGGCAGTGTGACGTGCCAGATCTCTCAAGCCTTATGGGGCACTCTGAGCGGGTGGGGGGCGGGGGCAGCCACAGACCTATCTCCCCCTGAAGCCACTTCTGCTTCAGTGCTTTGAGGCTGAGTGTGTGAATGCCGTAAAACGGGAAATGCGTGTAGCCCAAAGGCGTTTCATACCCCGCCACTTTTTTTTCTCAGTTGGAATGAAGTGGTGAGCCCCATCGCTTCACCATCTCCTTCCCTGGAAAGCAAATGTGTCAGGCTGCCCTCGCCCACCCACCGCCCCCACCCCTTGTTGGGGGGTGGGAGGGTTGCCGAATGGAGCCTTGCCCGCCTCAGCAGCGCTTTGCTGAGATGGAGAGATGGCTAAGACATGTGAAAGTGGATCATTTGGGAGGAAGAAGTTGGATGATTCTGACCTGTGCAAAACCAGACTGGCTTCTGGAGTGTTTTTGCACAGAGATCCAGAATCTCACTCAGCTGGAATGTCAGCCGCAAGGGAGAGAATGAGAAAGGGGAGCTGAGTTCCAGGGTGGGCTGTGAGAAGCCGCCACTGTTCCCCCCCACCCCCCGCCGACCACGAGGCATCTCCATCCCCCAGCCCCTGGGCGGCAGCCGGCTTGACCCGTGAGAGCCTGGCCGTGTCCTTCGGCAAGTTCTGCAGCTACAGACATTCTGCAGTCACATGCAGCAGCCTCACTGCAGTGCGCGTACCTCTGACTCGCTTGCACCGCTCAGCTTGGCTGAGACCGGTGCTGCTGGGGGCTGGGAAGTTGTCTTCCAGGGAGCCCGCCGCCACCGTGGCTCTCTTCTCTGCCCTGCCTGTGGGGCTTGAGGCTGCCTGCCGGCAGGTGAAGAGGAAATGCAGACCCCCACAATCCGCCCTGGAAGGGGCTGTGCCCACTTATTTGAAGGATCATTTCCTGGTGTCCCTCTTGACCATTCTTTACGCTGACTCCCAAGCTGTGTGCTTCCCGGAGGGCTCAGGGACTGTCTCCCTCCCCGCCCTCTGCAGTCCCCGTGGGGCTTAGAACAGGAGGATCAGTTCCTCTGTGTTCCCTTTCGTTTGGAAAGTCGTTGTGCATCCAAAACTGTGTCTGATTCTCACAACAACCTCGTGGAACAGGGAGGCAAGCTGTTGTTACCCGCCTTT